CCGAGGCCGAGAGTGTACAGGATGGAACTCGCGGGGATGCCGTGGCGCGGCGTCCACGTTTTAGTCAGTGCAGCAGCTTGTGTGTCGATTGTCAAGCAAGGTGACGTTTAAGGCTGATGACTAAAAGGGACCTCAGTGTCAGTCGATTGCATCTTGGCTGTGTGTGTGTGTGTGTGTGTGTGTGTGTGCGGGTGGGTGCATCGTTCCGAAAGGCGAGCGCGCGGGGCCGAAGTTTGAGGGAGGCGGTCCAGAACCTCGCCCCATGTGTGGAAATTTTTTACTCGTTCCTTTTTTCCCCCTTCCCGTCCGCGTCTTAACTCCAAAGTCCAGCTGCTGCAGCGGTGACATGACATCACCCGGCTTTAGCCCGCCCCATCGTCTAGCCTCGGATCCGACCGGTAGTGTGGCAGCAAATTGATTGGTTTCCGGGGGGTTAAGGAAACGGAAGAAACAGCAGATCTGCCAGCAATCTTTTTGATTTTCTGCTTGACTCGACTCTTGTTTGCAAGATTGCTGGTGGTTGCTCGAGCCTTTCCGAGGACTGTGGAATGTTCCGCAGAAACTCTGTTCAACTCTAGGCTCTAATTTATTTCCGTGAGCCATTGCCGAAGCGATTGCCTTCCCGTTGGGATGATGGAAGTCTAAAACATGGGAACCCAAAGTTTGTCAACGCAACAGCCATCCCAATTGGTAATATTTGATGAACCCGTGGGCAAGTCTTGGGACGTCTGTAACAACACCGCCTCAATGGCCTACGTATATCTAAGCAAAAGTGCGGTAGTAGACCGAATTCCTTTCCCATGCTAGGGTCCTCTTCCCTACCACCACCACCACCACCCTAGGTATTTACGATGTAGCATTTGTACTGGCCATTGCCGGGTGCCGCCTCCGGCCCCGTCCGGGCCCACCCACTCTCCCAAGTGTAGGTCTCTTTCAGCAATTTTTCGTGCCGAGCTGCTTGCCGACTACCTGAAGCTGAGAGTAAGGAAAGAAAAAAGAGGGAACCGGCATGACTTGGGAGCCCAAGTGGGACTCCGTGACCCATTCCTTCCCTCCTCCCCTGGCTTGGTAACCGGGGAGATTTGCACTGCGAGTTCCCAATCAGCTGAGAGGAGAGTCATTCCTCGTTGCCATATTCGATTTTTTCCTTCTCTCCTGCGTCCGACTAACTCCTGGCCCTCGGCCTTTTCGCACTTTTCATTGTATCCATAGCCCATACACCACTTGCAACCTGGTACAACTAGGTGACTTGGCTTACCTATTCTTGTCTACTTACAAACCGGAACCCACCACTCGCTCACTAATAATACCCAACTCCTTTTCATCTGAACTTTTCACGCCCTTCTTGAATCAGATAGAATCGAAAACACGTCCCTCTTTAAGACGAAAAGCCGCACCATCACTCTCTTCTGGATCGCGCATTCATCATCTCCAGTTTATTACCCCTCCTCCAGAGTCCGCGCGCGCTCTCCTCTCGTCGCCACCGATCTAGAACCCCCAAAATCTGACCGGCGCCCACACTACTCTGACAGCTTCAGATCGGATCCCATTACTTTACTCTGACGTAGCTGGTCACCAACACGCGCCGCCTGCATTATAGCTCCGAGCTACCACTCAGCAACAGTACAACACAGCTCTGCATTGCATTGGGGTATCTTTGAAATCAATTGGATTATCCGCGGCTCCTCGGTACCTGCCAGTATTTAGCTACAAGCTCTAGCACAAGCAGTACACACCCCAGCGATCTGCGCTTCTCTCACTCAGCAACACCACAAACTCTCAAAACACCATCGGCTCGTCCAACATGGCAATGGACGAAGTCGACCGCGAGATCGCGGCCGCCGAGCGCGCCGCCTCTCCTGAACGCTACCACGGCCGTGAGAGCCACGAGATCGAGCGCGTTCTCTCCGCATCCTCTTCATCCTCCGCGTCCTCCGTATCCACCGGCCGCCGCCCGTTCTCTCGCACCGGCACCGGCATCAGCCGCGTCTCGACTCAGAATGACCTCGAAAGACACCCCACGGCCCTGAGCCGCATCGCGACGGCCCGCAGCCAGCACTCTAACACCGTCGGCCGCAGCATCAAGAGCAAGCAGTCCAACAGGCCGCTCCCGCAAATGGGCGCCGGCAAGCCGTATCCGCCGCCGTTGCCCGAACAGGAGGAGTACGTTGTGGAATTCGACGGGCCCAACGACCCCCTGCACGCGCAGAACTGGCCGTTGAAGAAGAAGTAAGTCGATGACATCCTGTGCGACCTGCGCGCACGCGCTCCACCTCAGGGCCGTCGCTAACATGTCTTGGCGTGCAGGTTACTTACAGCCGCAATGCTTGGCTTCACCACGATGACAGCCGCATTCTGCAGCAGTATCTTCTCCGCGGCAACTCAGGTTATTGCGATTGAGTATGGCGTGTCGACAACTGTAGGCACGCTTGGTGTCTCCTTCTACGTCTTGGGCTTCGCCTTTGGACCCAGTTTGTGGGCGCCGCTTTCCGAGCTGAAGGGCAGAAGACTGCCACTAGTCCTCGCCATGTTTGGCTTCTCCGTATTCTCCATTGCTACCGCTACTGCCAAGGATCTTCAGACTATTCTCATCACCCGATTCTTCGCCGGATTCTTCGGCGCCTGCCCGTTGGCTGTCGTAGCGGCTGTGTTCTCGGACATGTTCGACAACCGCAGCCGTGGTAGCGCTATTACCGTCTTCTCAATGGCCGTCTTCACTGGTCCGCTGCTGGCTCCTTTCATTGGTGGCTACATTGTCGAGTCTCACCTTGGCTGGCGCTGGACTGAGTACCTCGCGGCTATTATGGGCTTCTTCGCCTTCGGTCTGGATTTGCTCTTCCTCGAGGAGACATACCCGCCTGTGATCCTGGTCAGCAAGGCTTCTGAGCTGCGCCGTCGCACTCGCAACTGGGGCATTCACGCCAAGCAGGAGGAAATCGAGGTCGACTTCAAGGAACTGGTCAACAAGAACTTCTCTCGTCCTATGCGCCTCCTCTTCGGAGAGCCCATCGTCACCGCCTTGTCCGTGTACATGGCCTTCATCTACGGACTCCTGTATCTCTTCCTGACGGCATACCCCTTCGTCTTCCGCGGCATTCACGGCTTCAACGCTGGCCAGTCCGGCTTGACCTTCTTTGGCATGATTACCGGCCAGCTCATTGCTGGCGTTACTGTCCTCCTTCAGCAACCCTGGTATCTCCGCAAGCTCAAGGCCAACAACGGCGTTCCCATTCCCGAATGGCGTCTGCCCAGCGTCATCGCTGGCGGCATCTTCTTCTCAGCCGGTATCTTCTGGTTCGGATGGTCCGGCTACCGTGCAGACATCCACTGGATCGTCCCCACCCTTAGCGGTCTCTTCACCGGCTTCGGCCTCATGTCGATCTTCCTCCAGGCCCTCAACTACCTGGTCGATGCCTATCTCATGTTCGCTGCCTCTGCCATTGCTGGAAACACCTTCCTCCGTTCCCTCTGCGGCGCCGGCTTCCCCCTGTTTGCGAGCTACATGTTCAACGGCATGGGAATCGAGTACGCCTCGACCCTCCTGGGTTGCGTCGCTGTCGTCCTTGCTCCTATCCCAGTGATCTTCTACATCTGGGGACACAAGATCCGCGCCAAGAGCGCGTACGCCCCGACCTTTGCGGCGCCTGCCGACGAGCCCGAGGAGCCCGTCGAGGACCTCACCAACGGACACGTCAGCCACGAGAACGAGAAGCCGCCTTCCGTCAACGGGCCCTCGAGCATCCCGAGGACCAGCGGCAACAAGGCCGAGAACGCCGTCTAAACCGTCCGCCTCCAAAGTATGCGATGGTGTATATATGTACGCCTTTTATATGTGACCTCGATTTCCCAGCGAGGTTTTTCTGGCTTTTGTCTTTTTGCATCAAGATACCACCGGCCAGGAAAGTAGGGAAAGGGAAGGGAGGGGACTCCAAAAAAGTTGTTTCAGCGTCATGTTGATTTGGGAAAGGTTTACGACAGCATCGTTCATCTGATGATACCATCTTGCCTTTGCCTTTTTATTATTACCATTTACCCATATAATAATCCTAGTTACACTTGAATGAGAATAGAGAAATTGAGAATGAGAACAAAAACACCCTCTTTTGCTGTCTTAAAGTGACGGGTTCATGTATACTCCATATTACCATTGTCATCAATATTACCTCCATCGTTAATGTTCCTTCTACTATCGTCTTCTACACCATCGTTCTCTCTACTGCCATCGTCCTTAATTGAAGTTATCAAGTACACAGGAAATGTAGCCGGTCTCATAAGAGAGGCTCAATTAAGAAAAATGAAAGGTTCAGGCTAATCGGCCGATCATCCGTGGAACGCACGCACTGACCAAACTGTCATTTTGATATAGTTTATGGTTCCCCCGAACTGCTAATCAAGTCTGATGGAAGTTAATCTGACAATTTCTTTGTCTTTCGGGAACCCCCGCATTTAGTCGATCCTCCCGCAATCCTGGTGTGCCAGCCGGGAATGACAGGCCGGGACAGCTGTGACACAACAGACTGTCTTTTGAAGCTCACCCGGCCCTACAATTGAATTTTGAAAGACACATGACGAAATAATGACTTGACAGCAAAATCACTGTGGACAGGGCATATGCTAGTAAACGCAGCAGGTAGCAGTTCAGCATGACAAGGGTGGCGGAGGTGACGCCCTTCGAGAGGGGGTCTCGGACTCTGATAAGACGGATAATTGTGGCAGTGAAAACAATCGACGAATCCTTACAATTTCGCCTGTCGCGGTAGTGTTCCCTAAAGCAGGCTTATTGTGCCTGGTTGATTATAAAGCAATTGGTATCTTCAACCGTCTTGCACGCCCTTCCTAGCAATCAAAATTTCAAGTTGTTGTTGCCCCAAAGTCTCAAATTAAGACGAACACCACACACAAACGGCCGCCAAATCAACCACGCCACTTATAACTTTCGGCATTGCAAAAAACACCGCTCGTATTCAATTAAGAATATCGAAGGCTACAACACAGACAGAATGTCCGCCGAAGAAGCGCCCAAGCCGTCCAAGACATACGACGCGAGCTGCCACTGCGGCAACGTCAAGTTCTCGCTGACGCTCTCGCCGCCCCTGGAGGAGGGGTACAAGGTGCTCAACTGCAACTGCTCCATCTGCCGGCGCAGCGGCTACCTGCTCACATGTGAGTCTGGGATTTTCTTTCCTCCTCTCTTTCCTTCTCTTGTGGCTTAAATTCGGTCACGTCTGTCTTGGTTGCACATTATTGCACGACTGTTGTGCATCCGAAATGGCTGACCACCACCGCAGACCCCAGTAAGAAGGACGTCACCTGGCACGATGGCTCACGGGAGAAGTGCACCAACTACCGTTTCAACACCAAGACCAAGGACCAGATGTTTTGCGGGAGCTGCGGCTCGAGTCTGGGCATCGACTTTTTGGATGAAGACTACTATGGAATCAGCGTACGTGCTTCTTTTCTTGGCTATCAACAGGTAAACATGCTAAACCACAGGTAGGCACGCGCTCTTGATGGCATTGACCTCGACACACTCACGTACAAGAAACTGGATGGCTTGAATAGGGTTTCTCCGGCCGCAGATCTGTCTGGCAAAGAGTCCAAGGAGACCAGCACGTAGACAGTTAAGCTTCAATGTGGTTTGAACGTGAATTAGAGTATATATTTCATGTATGTCTTGAGACGTTTCTGTACATGCGGCTTGAGATTACGGAACCCGCCCGACGCCGGCGCCGCAAGGTCCTCTGGTATTTGCAACATCCTTAAATCAATCTTCCATTCTTCTCACTCATGCCCCTCTCCTGCCTTCCGATGAAAGTCTTCATCGAGGTATCTACACCGGCGACCCTCCTCGCAACCTGCTGAACAGACGCGGGGAGCACATTGTACCAGTGAATCCACCTGGCGTAGAGCGGCATCGCCACGTGCGCACTGCGGCCCGCGTCGATGGCCGCAACGACCTCTTTGCACACGTCCACGGGCTCGACAACGGGAGCGACGAAAGCGTGGGGGGTCTGAACACCGTAGAAGAGCGGGGTCGAGAGCTGGCCGGGCTCAACGAGGATGGTGCGGATCTCGGGGTGGGAGGCGGCAAGCTCGGCGGTCAGGGACTTGTGGAGGGCGGTAACACCAGCTTTGGCCGCGGCGTAGTCTGTGAGGGAGGCAGCACCGAGGTGTCCGAGGACCGAGGACATTGTGACGATTGTGCCGCCCTGGCCGCCGCGAATGATCTGCGGGAGGAAGGTCTTGAGCGTAATGAAGTGGGAGGTCAAGTTCGTGGTGATGGAGCGCTCAATGTCGGAGATCTCGAGCTCGAGGAGGGGCTTGCCCTTGACGATTGCTGCGTTGTTGATCAGAACGGTTGGTGTGCCGAGCTAGATGGACTGTCAGTGATTTGTGATATCGTATGGGGAGCACGTTGGGAAGCTTACCTCGCGTTCGATCTCTCCCGCTACCCTCGCGACCTCGTTCTTGTCAGTGACATCGCACTTGTAGAACGTCACGCCCCGCGCCTCGCCGTTCTCCATCTCGTTGACATCGAGCACAGCGACGGTGGCGCCGCGCATGCCGTAGACCTCGGCAATCAGCAGACCCAGACCACTGGCGCCGCCGGTGATGACAATGACTTCTTCGGAGAGGTCGACCTCGCGGGGGAGGCCGTAAGCGACGCGCTGGTTAATGATGCCCGCCATCCAACAGAGGGTAATGAAGGTCGCCCAAGCGATGGAGGCGATCATTTGCGGGGCATCGTAGGGAAGAGCTTGCGCGCGGAAGCACAGAGGGATAATCCAGGAGACGAAGGGGTGGAAGAAGGTGATCTTGAAGACCTTCACGATGAGGTCGATTGAGAGGGGCGCGAACCACGACTCTTGTTGGGGTGGGCGTGGGTATTCCATTGTGGTGGTGTTGGTGGTGTTCTCTCTCGAGGTAGCAGTGACGACTGTGCGTGTTCTCGCGACGTATTAGACCAACAGCTCTCTCCCGCGTCCTGCACAGAATAAAAGAAGGATTAAGGTAGGAAGGATGCGGATGTAAAGGAAGAATCGTACAGGTGTCGTCCAGCGTTGGGAGGAAAGGGAAGAAAGAAAAAATCGGGAAAAGATGAGACGAAAAGTCGGCTGCAGTCTGGCCACAAGGAATGGGAAAGCTCGAGGCGCTCTCTCTGCAGCGGGGAGCTGGAATTCGTCACATGTGGATGGACCTCTGGGAGCGTTGAAACGGAGGCCAAGCGCTAGGGGGCCCCTGACAGGTCAGCTCCTGTCTGTGTGCTGCTGCAAGCGTGTGTGCCCCTGGAACCCCTGGGTGGTTTGGGGCCGGCTGCTACCACCAAAACACCCCGTTTCGCCCCTTGCAGCCGCCCATGATCATCTCTCCGCCACGGCTTGCGCTGCCGGGTGGGCCGCTGTCTTTTAAGCTTCTCTCCGAGCCGGCGGACTTGTCGGCCGCCGAGTGAAAGCCCGTCCGGGATTTAGATTAATGTCAGTTGCGGCGTTGGTACGTGAGAATGGACAATGGGGAAATCAACCCGAATGATGCGTAATATCTCGCGGAAAATTTGTTGGTATATTCTTGACCAATTCTTGACCATGGACGACTTGACCTGTGGTATTGGTTCTAAATGCACTTTTCACACAGTGGCCCCCTTGTCCCATACATACAATAGACATGCCGCCCAAACGCCGAACAATGCAATAAGCAGCACCTTTCTCAGATTTTCCATTACTTCTCGCGCGCCAGGATAGGCTTCTCTCTCTCGCTCCGTCTCTTCTCGAACTGTTTCTTGGTGTGCCTGCGCTCGTTCTCCTCGCGTCTCTTGATCGACTTGAGCTCGACATTCTTGATCTCGCCAGCCTTCTTGATGACCTTCGGCAGGTGGCGGTGTCTCTTGATGCGTCTGATCTCAGGCATGTGGCTGTATCGATTGACGAGAGCCTCGTTGTACTCGAGGGCTTGTCTCTGCTTCGCGGAGCGGATGCCGGATCGATCGTTGGCGTTGGACCTCCAGATGCGCACGTTTCCGTCGTCGGAGCCGGAAAGGATGTACTTGGAGTCGGGTGTGAACATGGTGCTGAAGACCCTCTGCATGCGCTTGGTGTGGTAGATGTCGCGTGAGTGACCTTGGTCGCGGTTCCAGATGCGGACTGTCCTGTCGTAGGATCCGGAGACCAACTCCTCACCCGTCGGACTGAACTCGACACTCATGACAGCCGCGACGTGGCCCTTGTAAACGTTCAGTGCCCTGTCGAACTTGCGCATGTCAAACATCTGTACAGGTCAGCATCATTCCACAAGCATTCTTGATAGTTCCACACATACATAACAGTTGTGGTCTTCGCTGCCAACGACCAGGTTGAAAGCCTCCATCGGGTTCCATGACAGAGAGTTGCAAGCAAAAGTCATGGTCGTCTTGGTCAGGGGCATCGCAGTGCGGACATCCCAGAGCACGATGCTTCTGTCGGCGGCCGTGCTTCCCAGAATCGACTGCTCCACCTGGTTGAAAGCAACGGAGGTGATCGTGTCGGTCGCGTTGGGCCAGCGCAGAATCTCGGGCGCTGCACTGTGTCGCTCGAGGTCGTAAATGGCGATCTCGCTAGACGCGGATGAAGCCGCAAAGGCGTTCCGTGTTCTGTGGTGGGACAGACTTTGGAAACCGCTATTGCCCAGCCAAGAAGAAATCGGCGCGGAATCGCTCGGCGTGTTGTAGGGGTCCCAAAGCTTTATCGTCTTGTCGGCGGCCGCACTGAGTAGCTTTCCGTCCTTCGTCCAGCACAGACTTCGTACAATATTGGTGTGCGCGCTCTTCACCGTCCAAATCTCGTCTCGGCTAGTAAGGTCGAAGGTCTTGATCGCACCATCACCACTTGCCGATGCAAAGTTTTTCAGGGAGTTCGGGTCCTTCGCCATCGAGTAGACCTGTAGTAGCTGTCAGAATGGCAGTCGCACGTAGCTGATTTCACTTCGAACTTACACCGTCAACAAAACCGCTGCCCATCTGTCCAATGAAGGGCGCAGCGTGCATGCGCTCCAGCTTGACAGCATTGAGGGCTTTTGTGTACCTGGTCGCGCTGTTAGCTAGTGAAATCGAGAAGTGGCAAGGTCGTCGTACTCTCGGGCGCGTTCCATGGGATGCTGAGCGGGATCGAGGTTTCTTGAGAAGAGTTAGCGATGCTTTGCAGGTAAACCATGAGCTCATATACCTAGGCAGCTTTTGCGCGCTTGCGCCGGGAGGCTGGTATGCCTCCACGCTCCGAGAAAGGGCCTTGATCTTCATTTTGGCGGATGCAGTGCAGTGTGTTGCTTCACCAGAGGCGTGTCAATCAATGGCTGCGAAGCCATCCAGAACTTCTCCCAAAAATTTAAGTGGGGGTGGGGATCTCTCGGAGAATTTTGGCCAACCATAGCTCTTTGCGGATCAAATACGGCCCGGTCGTGCCTGCCCTCTGCTCCCGCCCGGGCTTGCGTCGCGGTCATGGCAACCTGGACCTGCTGGAGGCGGCTGGAGCTCTTGACAAAGCATCAAGAAGCTACATCACGAATCCGGCGATTGAACCATAACCACCACCTCCTCCCCACGACGACAATTCCACGAAACCGCACACAAGCAAACGAACCGAGACGAATTGTTGAACAACCGGAGGTCAAATATCCAGAATGGCTCAGGGCGAATCGGCGAGGGTGCAAGAGGCACAGAAGGCGGCCAAGTCAGATCCCCGAAAGGCAGAGCAGCTCTACAAGGACATCATCTCCAAGCCCCCTTCCGCAACCTCCGATGCTGCAGTGAAGGAGTACGAGACGGCGTTGATTAGCTTGGGAGAGCTGTACCGGGATGAGAAGTGAGCCCCTCACCACCTGGCGATGACATCGTCGGACCCATGTGTGCTAATTGCCATTGTAGGAACACGCAGGAGCTTGTCGACCTTGTCACAAAAAGCCGAACAGTGCTTTCGTCATTCGCCAAGGCGAAGACAGCAAAGCTTGGTATGGACTGATCGCAAACCTGTGAAATTAGGCGATTCCGCAGATAGCTAACTGCTACCCCTCCAGTCCGCTCGCTCCTCGACCTCTTCGAGAACATTGAGGGCAGCACCGATATTCAGATTGCCGTTACGAAGTCATGTATAGAATGGGCCACCTCCGAGCGCCGCAGCTTCCTGCGCCAGAATCTCGAGACCCGCCTGGTCACCCTCCTCATGCAGAAGCAGGCCTACTACGACGCCCTCACACTCATCAACGGCCTCCTCCGCGAGCTCAAGCGCCTAGACGACAAGCTTGTCCTGGTTGAGGTACAGCTCCTCGAGTCGCGCGTCTACCATGCTCTCGGCAACATCCCCAAGGCCCGTGCCGCCCTCACTAGTGCCCGTACGAGCGCCGCCTCCGTCTACACCCCTCCCCTTCTCCAGGCCCACCTCGACATGCAGAGCGGTATGCTCCACGCCGAAGACAAGGACTTCAACACAGCCTTCTCCTACTTCATCGAGGCCCTCGATGGCTACCACAGCCAAGACGAGCACACAAAGGCTACCGCCGCCCTGCAGTACATGCTGCTCTGCAAGATCATGCTCAACCTCGTCGACGACGTCAACAACCTGATGACCTCCAAGCAGGCCCAGAAGTACGCTAGCAAGAACCTCGAGGCTATGAAGGCTATTGCCAGAGCGCACTCAAACCGTTCTCTCGAGGAGTACGAGCAGGCTCTGCAGTCCTACCGCGAGCAGCTTGGCAGCGACGCTTTCATCCGCAACCACCTGCGCCGGCTGTACGACGCAATGCTGGAGCAAAACCTTATCAAGGTGATTGAGCCATTCTCTCGCGTTGAGATCAACCACATCGCCAAGATGGTCGGTCTCGACACGCAACAGGTCGAGCGCAAGCTCTCCCAGATGATTCTCGACAAGGTCATCATTGGTGTCCTGGACCAGGGTGCGGGATGCCTCATCATTTACGACGAGACGGAGCGCGACAGCGCATACGACCACGCCCTTGCTACGATTGAGAAGCTGAGCAGCGTGGTGGACGTCCTTTACACCAACCAGGCCTCGATGCTCGAGTAAGACATGGCAGGCGTCAAGGGGGGTCAAGGGGTAAAGGAAGCGAATGGATTTGGAACTGTACTATTACCATAGACACACAATGCCGGCGGTGCATGAGACAGAAATTCATTCTGATGAAGTGGTATCTTACAAACTGCGGGTATCTCCCCAGTGTCCAAACAATGTGATATCTGTCCCCCCGAAACGCCATCGAAACCACAGTACAATAATTCAACGTGAAACTTTCATGATAGGCCCCTGATCTTTTGTTCATCAATCAACCACAACGCCCAAAGAACGGGAAACGCCAATATGCATGCCTTTAAACAAACTTCACCGAGGGTGCTTTAGGTGCGCGCTGCTCCCTACGGAGCCGCTCCCCTACAATCAACGAAAAGGCCCTTTTGGCCAGCACCTCCTCATCCCACCCGCCAACCTCGGCCTTGAAGGCGTCAACAACGTCAAGGTGCCACTGCTCCATAAGCAGACTGGACCCGTGCGAGTTGACCGACTTGCCCAGCAACCAGCCCGATTTCGACTGGAAGCCGGCTGGCCATCGGAAGTTGAAGGGGCCCCGCCTGCGCAGGTGGATGAGCTCGTCCATCAGAAGCCAGTGGTCGCGGGACCACATCGTCTGGGAGAGACGCTTCTCGACGGGCTTGAGCGGGTTGCTGAGGTCTGCTTGGGGCACGTCGGTCATGGACACGTCCATCTCCTCGTTTTCTTCCGACACGTCGTTCTCCTTGTCCTCCTCGATAATCGTGATGCTGCGCTGCGGTGCGAAAGCGACCGCGGCGGGGCCGGCGGCGCTGCCGTTGGAGCTGGCGGACATGCGCCGCTCGGCGCGAGCTTGTGCCTGCGCGAGC